TCGAGAAATTAAGACAATTAAAAATTATTACTTTTCCAGTTTTCAAAAAATTTTAATCAAATTTGAGATATAGCAATTTTATATTACTCTTCAAATTTGTGTACAATTTTATGAAAATCGGACTACTATTTTTCAACAGAATTTGATAAAATTTGTGATATTGCAATTTTGTATTACTCTACAATTTTGTGAAAAATTGAATGAAAATCGGACTACTATATCATATAGCTCCCATAGGAACGATCGAGAAATTAAGACAATTAAAAATTATTAACATTTTCAGTTTTTAACAGAATTTGGTCAAATTTGAGATATAGCCATTTAATATTACCTTAAATTTTTTTATAATATTATATGAAAATCGGACTACTATATCCTATAGCTCCCATAGGCACGATCTATAAATTAATAAAAATAAATATTATAACTTTTTCAGTTTTCAACAGAATTAAATCAAATTTGGAATGTAGCAATTTTATATTACTTTTTCAGTTTTCAACAGAATTTGATCAAATTTGAGATGTAGCCATTTTATATTACTTTAAAATTTTGTGTAAATCTCAAATTTGATTAAATTCTGTTGAAAACTGAAAAAGCTATCATTTTAAATTGTATTAATTTCTCGATCGTTCCCATGGGAGCTATAGGATATAGTAATCCGATTTTCATAAAATTTCACACAAAATTGTAAAGTATAATAAAATGGCTTTATTCAAATTTGATCAAAGTCTGTTGAAAACTGAAAAAGTTAACATTTTTTATTTTCCTTATTGTAAAGTTATATGAAAATAGGACTACTATATCCTATAGCTCCCATAGGAACGACTGAGAAATTAATACAATTAAAAATTATAGCTTATTCAGATTTTAACAGAATTTGATTAAATTTGAAATATGTGAAAAATTAAATGAAAATCAGACTACTATATTATATAGCTGCCTTACAAACGATAATTAGATATAGAGAAAAACGTAAATGTAAAATTGTAACTTTAGATTTTCGTATACTTTGCTTTTTTAACTAAAAATTACTCTAGAATATTATCTTATTAATATGAACTTAATCTGCGCCTTCTACGTCTAACCCTGCCTCAAAAAACTAACCAACAATGTAACTATTTGCTATCAGAATGAAAGAGGCTCACTTAGGCAAGGCACTTAGGCACAAGGTTATTGTGTTCACAGAAACCTGGTTATATCCGATTCTGAGCTCCGAAGTTTTTCCAGCTGTGTTCACAGTATATCGGCTTAAATAGGCCTATCAGGCGTGGGGGTGGTTTCCTCATAGCGGGGGACTCCTTACTCACGTCAGATTTATTAACTTTCGAGGTATGCAATGATGTTGAATTCCTCTGTGTGAAGCTATCTGTCAATGACAGCTCCATTTCTATTACGTGTTGCTACATTCCCCCATTGTCGGAATTCCCTATTTATGCCAATATTTATTTCCCAATGACATTTTTATTTTATACATCAACTAGCGGACCGTCCCGGCTTCGCACGGGTATTAAACATTACATTTAGATTTGTCAATTTTAACACATTCATAATAATAATAATAATATGACACATATTCATCCTTTATTTTTTTGTTTTTTTTTCAATTATTGAGGTCATAACCCTAAAAGAAAATACATTTATTTTGTTAAGCTAGAAACACACGATGCAAACAATTTGCAGCAAGTTGAAAATAATTTGCAGCAAAAGTTTGCACAAATGTTTACACCTATGCAAATATTGCAAGAAAATTTCTTGCTCCAATAAATTTTTGTTTTGCACGCAAACTTTTGCATGGCTATTTCGTGCAATATATTGCGTTACTGTCTACACGTGTTTTTATTTTTTATTGACACTGCTTGCAAGCAGAGCAAATAACTGTCGAACTATTTTTTTCTTGCGCTCTCGTTGCGAGCACAACCGAAACAGTTCATACTCTCTCGCTCTCGCTCTGAGCAAGAGACTCTTGCTGTATTCTTTTATGTTTTCTGTTGAAAATTTACCGTATTTGGGTATCGCATCGTTTCTTTTACCTTTCCTTTATATTCTTTGAATGTAAACAAAGATTTAAAAGTGGGAATATCAATACATAGTGACTCTCCATTAAAAGACATAATCAAAACAAAACGTGCGGTAGAAATGTTCGAAACAGAAATTTCCCCGCCTTCGACTTTGCATTGAAATATTTCGAAATATTTTATGAATAAATGTAAAATAAGCTTATTTTCGTTAAATTCAATATATTCGCTATAAACATATGTAAGAAAAACAGACATTTACTGACTTTTAATTTTATGGCCACGGTTGCGTTCTCCAGAGAATTGCCCATATATATATGTATATATATATATATATATATATTTTTTAATTTTTTTTTATATATATATATGTATATTTCGTCTGCAATACAGACGCTTGCCTATGCGTGTGAGTGTATACCAATACATATGCAAAAGACTTTTTGCTTCACTGAACACGACAAAATGGTCTTGGAACAACCACATTGTGCTTTGTTTGCTGCAATACTACGACTGAAAGCAAACAGCACATGCAAACAAGCAAACAGTTGACGCAACCAAGATAGCTGTCAAAAAATGTATACAGACGACAAGCAACAAATATTGCTGCAAAACAACTTTGCAAGTTTTTTGTTTGCAGCAAAATGTTTTCACTCGTGTTTAAACGTGCAAATTTGTTTGCAGCAATCAACTTGCTGCAAATTGTTTGCATCGTGTGTTTCTAGCTTTAGAGCTTCTCTGTAAACAATATTTGATGTTTTATTTTGTGGCAGCAAAATAAATTGATTTTCATTGGCTCCGACTCGCGATAGACCAACATACAGTTGACCATGAGTAAAACATTTCTTTCGCAAATCGATCCATACTAATTCGAAGGTTTTGCCTTGTGACTTGTTAATTGTTAATGCGAAAGATGTTTTTACCGGAAATTGAAGCCGTTTAAATGGGATTGTCATATCATTTTGGATCATCGGTATCCTCGGTATATGAGCTAGTTGACCACCTGCTGGGCATATTATGGTTAAGAGGGCACTTCTGAATACATCAAGGTTCTGGCAAAATCATCTTCCTGGCATAAGGTGAAGAAGGCAGTCAGAGTTGTCGCTGGCGGATTCAGGACTCTTTCTTGCACATTTCTTTCTGTGAAATAGACACGTTGACCATTCTCCAAATGGACTGCCAAGTGAACTAAAGCTGGATAGCGTTCATGAATGTGGAACGAAAATATTCTCCATGCAGCCTCGTTGCTGCTTATGTATCTTCCAGCCTGGTATTGAGATATTTCATCGACAACTCGTACTGCATTGTTGTCACCATTTTCTGCCTGAACACCAAAAACTGCCATATCGCTGCCTTTATTCACGTACTTGCAGATATACTTAATCGATTTCACGGAATTGCAATATTCTACGTTGATGTGCGCTTTGTATGATTTTGACAATAGTGGTGAGTATGGAACCACCCAACGATTGTCTACCTCAATATCACCAATTCTCATGTTTAAATTTGCCGAAGTCCCTCCATCTTCAGTTGACCGTCTCCTATACAGAGGATATCTATCGTCCCCTGTTACGGTGTTGGCTGTAAATGCTCGAGGATATCGCTTTAAACACTTCCCGTCTACCATGCATGGTGAACATGGGTTGAGGGTACCACATGGGCCATGGATCATGTTCTTGATGACAACTTCATGCAAATCCGTATCAACCTCGGCCCATGGAATCTCAGCGCATATAACATCGTCGATTTCATCTGGAGTAATTGTATCATACAGCCAAATCAGTATGTGCGCATGCGGCAATCCTGTCTTCTGCCAATCTACTGAATACATACTATCTCGTCCCAAGCTGGATTGCTCTCAGCCGCTCAGTCTCTCGGATGGAGGCCCGTTCTTCGTCAGTTATATTCGTAATCTTACGTCTTTTTGCTTCTGTATTGCGATTACGACGACCCAAACTCGACTTCTTGGGTGGCATGACTTCGTTTCTTACTGAACCTGAACAAAAAAATAAAATTTTTATCTCCAATTTCTTATTTTAATATGTTTTGAATGTTTGACAGGAAATGCTTTGATTCAGCTGGCTGCCTGTAGAGGGCGGTAGATGTAAGGTAGTTTTTTGATATTTTTTTAACACCTTGGATTACGTTATCGTAATTTTAGTAAGGATGCCTATTTTTTTTTTTAAATGAAATATAGCCTATGTCACTCAGGAATGATGTAGCTTTCCAACAGTGAAAGAATTTTTCAAATCTGCCAAGTACTTTCGGAGCCTATTCAATTCATACAAACAAACAAACAAAAAATCAAACCTTTCCTCTTTATATAATAGTATAGATAATTTGACAATAACATTTGTCTCATTTTTTTTTCAGTAATGTAGGTATTGGGGTTTTATGTGCCCTTTAATGAGATGCTATTAGAACTATTTTACCAACTATAAGAACTCTCCTGAGCACTGGGCTGTTTCACTTTCCAACGATCGTCTCGGTTAGATTACTCTTTATTATTGGCTCCAACAGAGTCCTTATTTTTTCTTAGCCTGCTTCTCCTTCTTGTTGTTTTAGATATCTGCGCCATTAACATGTCCGTTACCGTCAGTTCAATAAAAAGTATTGCCGATCATATAACCAGTACAATACAATGTTCTCACTAGTATTTTAAATATGAACTTTTAAAAAAAAAATCGCCGAAATAACTTGAGCAGCGTAAAATAACCAAATCATTGTAGACATGTCTGTCAATCTGGCTGTATGTGGAACAAAATATAACAAGAAGAAGTTGGTGACATTTAAACATGTTGCACACAGAAAACGTTTTATGCCAAACTTTGGTAAACATACGAGTAATTAAAAAAAAAAATATTCTTTTAACCCTATTCCCACGTTATTTCGTTCTCCTCCCTCTCGCACGCACACTCAACTATGCCGCAGTCGCTTAGCAAATTCTTATTTAGATCTTTACTTATTTATCTAATAGCAGTTTATATATCCAATTCCTAGTGCTTTATGGAAGAGGTCAAGGAGCACCCATACGTCATCCAATGCGAGGCAGCTAAGCCGCTAATTGTCGACACCTTTAAATTTTTGTATGACTTGGACTTTCTAGAATCACAGGCCGACGAGGTAATTGTACTGTTTTCCCCTCTCCATTTTAGCACCAACTTATATGTGCCTTTTGACCTGCCTTTTCAACCGAAGCTTACAACACCGCCCTTAGCAATGCCGAGGTTGCCGCACGAGGTCATCTTTGCTATTGGAGGTTGGAGCGGTGGCACATCAAAGGGTTGCATAGAAACATATGATACTCGAGCAGATCGCTGGGTGAACATCAACGCCGAGGATCCTGCAGGGCCTCGCGCGTATCACGGAACAGCAGTTTTGGGATTTAAAATTTATTCAATCGGAGGCTACGATGGTGTTGAGTACTTCAACACCTGTCGCGTATTTGACGCCGTAAAAAAGAAGTGGAGCGAAATTGCACCGATGCACTGTCGTCGTTGCTACGTAAGCGTGACGGAGCTAGACGGAATGATCTATGCAATCGGCGGCTACGACGGACACAACCGTTTAAACACCGTTGAGCGGTATAATCCAAAAACCAATCAGTGGACAATTATCCCGCCGATGAACATGCAACGATCCGATGCCAGCGCCTGTACCCTGCAAGGGCGTATCTATGCCACCGGTGGATTTAATGGGCAGGAGTGCCTGGATAGTGCCGAGTACTACGATCCAAACACCAACGTGTGGACGCGAATTGTTAACATGAACCATCGGCGGTCTGGAGTAAGTTGTGTAGCATTCCGCGGTCACCTGTATGTTATCGGGGGTTTCAATGGCACCGCTCGGCTCTCCACTGGGGAGCGATTCGACCTGGAATCACAGACTTGGCACTTTATTCGGGAAATGAATCACTCACGTAGCAATTTTGGATTGGAAATAATCGACGACATGATCTTTGCAATCGGCGGCTTTAATGGAGTCTCCACCATTTCGCACACTGAGTGCTACGTACCTGAATCGGATGAATGGATGGAGGCCACCGATATGAATATCGTCCGTTCTGCCCTGTCCGCCAATAACGTAGCTGGTCTTCCTAATAAGCGCGACTACATACACAAGGAGCGAGACCGTCTGATGGAAGAGAGGCGCCAGAGACTTATGGCAACCGCCTTGGCCCGAGATGATATCGGGCATGGTAGCCCCGGAAACTCACTTGTGGAAACTAGCGACGCGGCTATAGATGACTACGAAAGCCCCAATGATGACGAAGATGTTGAAGAGCAGCGGCCACAACAGGATTTTATAGCAAATCCTGCAGGTCCTGGGCTTACACCGGCCGTAGTCCACGGCTTGGGACATCCTCAGCCTGCAGCCCCGCATCTTAACAGGCTTCTGGAAGAGCGAGATATTGAGAACAATCGGCGCTTTCGGGTGCAGCTGCGTAATCAGCGCTATGGTTCGCATCATGAGATTCGTCGTCGCGCCTAGAAATTGGCGCGGTAGGCATGCTCCAGGCTGAGTCTAAGCCCTTAATCATTCCCGATTTGCCAAGTCTTTCCAAGCAGAAATAAAAACCGCACATTAGAAGAAGCGTAAGCATGGCCAAAGATATATTTTAGGTGCTTAAGTCCTGCATCGTAGCCCACGTAAACTGAAACCGTTTTCTATAAGTCGCACAAAAGTCGATCTTCAGTATTTTTCATATAATATTGAAACATCTTTTGACCAAATTTCAGTTACTCAAAATTTAACGGAATATTTATATTCAAATAAAATATTTCTTATAATTAAGAAGCTATAAGTTTAATCAAACGTTAACGGCCTAAGTTCACAAAATAATTTTTATGCGTTTATTTCGACATCCACCTAAAAGATACATTCCTTGAATAGAAGCAAAATAGTTAAACCCAATTGCTAATTTGCTATAGACAATGAAGTGGGAATAATACAAAATGTAGTTTTAGCGCGGTAAGCCTCTTACCACCACTTTAAATTTGTTCGAATTTTACTGCCGTCAGGTTACATATATCCTATTTATCCTTATTCCGTCCTTCTTAGTAGTAAGGTAAGTTAAACAATAATACATATGGCCGTGTTCACAAAAAGGTCAGTTACAAGAACTTATATTTAAATTGATAATAATTTTCAACTTCTAAAACAGATGTCGAAATATTTGAATTCTCGCCCCCTTGATTAAATATAAATCAACAAGATCGCTGGAGCCGCAAGCACGGATCGATAAGAGAGTCCGATTACCAGAGAACTAGATCCCTAGACTCGAATCCAGAAGTTCGCGGCAGCAGTGCGCTCTCAGGCTTAATCTCTTCTGATTCTAATCGCCGCCAAGAGCAGACGTACCTATCACAGAGGGCGTTGAGACCAGACTACTTTCCACATCACCATGGATAAGGTTATAAATAAAGTTTATTCCTAGCATCGTACTACGATTGGCTAATGACGGTAAGTTGATTAAGAGGAGTATATTAAGATTAGGAAGTAATCTTTGGTCTGAATCCCAATTTAAGCCGCTTAGAGCACAAAGTAAAAAGTTCTTTTGAACCGATTCTATGCGTATATTATGGACTCCGTACTGAGGGGTCCAAAGAAAGATCCAGACTCCAACATATGACGAACTAATGAAACACATAAGGATTTAGTAACATTAGGGTCATAAAATTCTTTCGACCACCGCTTAATAAATCCAAGTATACCCCTGGCTCTATTCATCATAGACGAAATATGATCGATAAAGTCAAGTTTAGGGTCTAATCGAACGCCCAAATCATCAACTGAATTAATTCTTGGGAACGACACGAGAGAATGTCATTAGCTTGCATTTAGAGCCGCTTAAGTTTAATAAGTTAACGCGACACCATGACCATGACTTATTAAGATCTTTTTGTAAATCCGACTGGCAGGCACCGTTCTTATATTGCACACAAAGCTTGACGTCGTCGGCGTACATAAGTACACTGCAGTTAGTCAGAACTTTGGGCAGGTCGCTGGCTTGTTCGACATTTCGCTGCCTCAAGTCAACCATGTGCGAAATTCCTTACAGCGCTTGCTCGTTCGTTGTTTCGTCTCTGATCCTGCGAGAGTCAGTTTAGCCAAGGAGGCGCCTCTGACGCAGCCCGAAGATCCGTATCATCAAATTTTTGATGTGACTCTTGATATTGGGTCGATGTACAGAATATATCTGACCGTCCAGCCAAAAAAGTCCTCTGTTTTCGCAAGACGGACTTTGAACGGCTTAATAATTTTATATACGAGTTCAATTGGTCCGATCGATGTTCATGACATGGCAGTTGCCGTGGATATTATTTATAATGCCATGAATTCATTTTTTACTGAATGTGTTCCGTTATACTTTCCTCCAATCTCGAATAAACCGCCGCTGTTCACTAAAGAGTAGCCGATTTAAGAACAAAAAATCTAGGCTGTATGCTAAATTTAAATTCACCGGTTCTTAATCTGCCCTTTCATCTTATTTATCAGTTTGTTCAAATTTACCGTGCTGAACGCGCAGTGTTATAAAAACTATTTGACTCGTTGCAGGGTCCAGTTCTCTCAGGACCCAAATCAGTTTTATTATTTTGTTAACACTAAACGTTAGCCTAACACAAATCCTTCGTCGCTTTCATTTGAATATACTACCGCAAATAATGTCCAGGCTATAAGCGATCTATATTCGCAGTTTTTTCAAACAACTCATTCAAACTCTTCGAATTTAAATTAGACTTATTCCTACGTTATACTCAAATCGAACTTAATTTTCAGTTCTGGCCTAAACAAAAGCTTTCTTATTTATTATCTTTAAAGCCAAGCCAGTTTATTCGCCAGGTCTCAATAGAATTCCCTGAGGTATGGTCAGATATTGTGCCGACGCCCTGTGCTATCCCCTTCTGAAATTGTTTACCTCCCATTTTTCCCTTATTTTATTATTTATTATTCCTCTCCACGGAAAAACGGTAGCAAATTGGATGCCTACAATTATAGAGGAATCTCTAAGTTATCGGCTATCCCAAAAAGTTTCAAAAACATAATTACTCCTCACTTGCAGCATCTTTATCGACCAGTTATTTCTCCATGTCAAAATGGTTTTACAACACCAAATGTTTCGGAGCTCTCTTCCTATATTATAAAGCTGTAATCTATACTGATTTCAGTAAAGCATTTGACTATGTTAACCATTCAATCTGTAGCTGAACAAAACTAAAATCAATGAATGAAATAACTTCAATATAAAATTTTTACAATATGCTGAGTTTTATTTTTTCAAAATATAACCATAAAGTGTCAGTTTGACCTCTTTTTCTTTATAAATTATAATTTAAAGGAGCACGATTGTTGAAGAATTTGTAATGCAGTCACAAAAAATTTAAATTTCACATAACAAATAACTTTTAAGGGATTTATATCATACGAATGTATGATAGATGAGTTAATTTCTTCAAAATTGTGGGATTATATATTCTCGAAACCACGATCGGAATTGATCCCCTAGATATCCACGAGCAACTCACTGCAAAAAAGGCAGCACAACGACTTGTTGCATTAGAACTGAGTGTTCAATTGGCCGAAACATGAGCATTGTATCTGAATATATGATACCAAGAACTTTCCCGATTATTAAAAGAAAAACATTCAACAAAATCTGTTGTTCTGATTGTTTGTAGGGATTCTTACAGGTCATTGCCTGGTTGCGACGCATGCAAGGCTAGGCATCACCGACAATTGCAACTGCAGCGATCAATTCGAAGCAACCAAAACTGACATAAGCTCCAAATACAACTTATTTGGTTCTTTAAATTTTTTTTCACAATTTTAGAGATCGGAAAAGAATTTCAAGGGTTTAGAGGTTTATACATTTATACGTTTCTTATAACATAGTTTAACTTATCAGATTGTTATGGACGTTGATGCACTAAGGTCAGTACATTCAAGTGGCCCGTATGACACCAGGCACGTGCCTGTTTGGGTTAGGTGTTAGTAGGCGCGATGGAAAATATAGGACCGAATATGAGGAAATTGACTACCGGCGTGCTGCAGGTTGTTAGTTTGCATGCTTACTAAGTGTTTTAGTATTAAAGATTTTAATTTGGGAAGGGTATCTACGTTAGAGATTAGTGTGTACAAATCATTATAATTTGCACATAACACTCTAAACGGTTCATGCAGTTCAAAGGAGGTTCTACAGTGGCGCAACACTAATGGGATATAGGATCTAGTAGTTCTACATGGTACATTGATTTTAAGCTGACTCAACAAGTCAGCACTTTCCACATCACCATGGATAAGGTTAAAAATAAAGCATCGTTCTACGATTGGCTAAGTTTATTAATAGGAGTTTACTAGAGTAGGAAGGTAATCTTTGGTTTGCATCCCAATTTAAACCGCGTAGAGCGAAAAGTAAAAAGTTCTTTTGAACGGACTCAATGCGTTTACTATGGACGGCGTACTGAGGGCTCCAAACGCAGCATCCATATTCTAAGATAGGACGAACTAAAGAAGTATATAGGGATTTAGTAACATAGGGGTAATTGAAGTCCTTCGACCAACGTTTAATAAATCCAAGCACACCCCTGGCTCTATTCTTAAGTTAAGTTTAAGTTTAATAAGTTAACGCGACACCATGACTGAAAATTATTAAGATCTTTTTGTAAATCCGACTGGCAGGCACCGTTCTTATATTGCACACAAAGCTTGACGTCGTCGGCGTACATAAGTACACTGCAGTTAGTCAAAACTTTGGGCAGGTCGTTAATAAAAAATGTAAACAATAGGGGACCCAAATGGCTACCTTGTTTGACACCAGAATTAACCCTGAGAACAATATATAAGTTATTCTTAATTCAAGATTCAAGTAAGATCAACTGGGAATCCCATTAAATCGAGTTTTCTAACAAGAAGGAAATGGTTAACAGAGTGAAATGCTTTACAGAAATCAGTATAGATTACACCTGTCTGAAAATGATTATATTATAATTAATAATATAGAAAGGGAGCTCCAAGTTCGATTTAGACATGCTGTAGGAGTAAGTCTGATTTGAGTCTAGAGACTTTGAATAGTTTGTTTGAAAAAAACTGCGAAAATAGATCGATTATTCCCTGATCATTATTCATGGTAGTGTTTTCAAATAAAAGCGAGGAAGGATAGGGCTTATGGATAGTGTTAACAAAATTATAAAAATATCCTGAGATATCTGGACCCTTCAACGAGTTCAATAGTTTTTATAACAGTCGTAAAGCTTGACCGTGCCGTTAAATAAGGTACCGAACCGATTAAAGGGTAAATTGCGAACCAGAGATTTAAAATTTGGCATACACTTTAGATTTTTTATTTTTAAGGCAGCACAACTCTTTAGTAAACCACGGCGGCTTATTCGAGCTTGGCGAATAGTTTAACGGAACACATTCAATGAAAAATGAATTCATTGCATTATAAACAAGAAAGGAAGCTATCTGGGCACGCCGAAGTTTATATACCCTTGCAGATAGAACTTCCATGAATAGGAATCCATACAATATAAATTATATATATTTGTGTTAAAAAACAATGAAGTAATACCTGCATTCATTTCATTCACCTATACATATTATATATGAAGTTTTACATTCACAGATTTGCATTTTTCCTTTACATCAAACGATCGTTTGTATGGCACCTATATGATATAGTCGTCCGTTTTCCATGAAATTAAATTTAAGGCTAGTATAAAATGGATATTCCTCAAGTTTAATGAAAATCAGCTGAAAACTGAAAAAGTTATAAATTTAATTGTATTAATTTCTCG